ATGAGTGATGAAACAATGATTTTGTCGATTTGTAATTTTTTAACGGCCATCAGACGCTACGTAGGAATTCCGTTCGCCACGTCAGCGCCCAACAAATGGATTTTTTGACAGTGGTGGATGGAAAGGTAAATGACAAAGTTGAGTTAGTACTGTAAAGCAAAATGAAGTTCGATGAGCAGTCCGTGACGATGGTATAAGTTCAGTGATGTTTGAAACAATTCACTCTACTTCCAACTGTAGTGGCACACAACAATAGAAAATTCTAAATCTGTGACATGTAATAATTTTTTTTTTTTGTCGACTCCCAATACAGCAACACAATTTCAATCAATATAGAAAAATAAACGAGACAACATTTTCTTCTTTCTTATCAATGTACAACTATACACCATTCAAATGACAAATATTAAAATAAGAGTTTTTGTTCGTAAAATTTGTGAAAAATATAGCATAATTTGTAGTCGAGGGTGCATCATAGTTTTGTTTCAACCCAAAACACTTATCGAACTTTAAAATTTTTGAAATAGTTATTGTACTTTCAGAATTGTTACTCTAGAATCACTTCACTTTTAATGTTGTTTGATATCAATCACTTCAAATCGTTCAAAAAATTGAAGTTTCCCTTTGCGCTGTCACCTAAATCATTAATTTCGAACTGAATGAAATAAAGTGAGAAATTGAGTGACTATTAAAAACAACATTAGAAGTACAATGACCATTTTTTTTAACCCTAGGGAAAACAAGGTCATACTAGTTATGAGAAATGCCCAATTTCGCTAAACGACGTCGTTTTCAAGGATGCTGAAATCGTCGTTTTCCCAGCATTTCAAATAAACCACTGAAACCCACTCCACTCCCCGCCCGCGATATATACATACACATGTATGATTAGGTCATTCCAGTGTGCGAATTTTGTTGATTGAATACTCGATGAGTAGTAATACCTCGTCGCAGTTCATGGACAAGCAGATAATGGATCTTGCGAATTCTCATAGTGGTAACAACAACAGTAGTAGGGACATTGATTTCAACAGTTTCATGAAGAACCAGTTGGAAGATCATCTGAAGGAAAATGGCATCGTTCTGAGCTACGATTTTATGCCTATTCGTCCTGCCGGAGGTTCATCATTGCGGCCGCCGACGACGGCGAATATTGATTGCGGCAATTTGGGTGGTTTGCCCAGGGAGTGGAACACTGCTGATTCCAAAACTAATTCCTCTTCCATCAGAGTATTCTCTCTAACATCCCCTTATATATCCAAATGCATGTATTGTATTTATGAGTCTTGAAATACTTAGGGTTTGATTGGTGGGTGATGTAGATACTGTCATTTTTATGAATTATGTCGAGTTGGAAATGTTAAAATGAATTATATTTCTACTGATTATTAAAAGCTTAAACGAGTGATAATGGTAAAGAGAATAATGAGGGCAGTTTAATCGGTTTTGTGAGAATTTGATTTTTCTTTTTTATGATTTCTGTTGAGGGTTTTTATGGTTCATTGAATAATTTTGCCTGGTTGGAGCTTCCTGAAATCGTTTGAACTAAGGGTCGTTTGATTGGATGGGTGAAAAATGGGTGGAAAAAAAATAATTTTTACAGGAAAAAGATTTGCCAAGAAATTGTTTTGCAGGGAAAATGATTTCAAGTGTGTTTGATTGGTATAATTTTCCACCCAGAAAATTTTTAAATTTTCTATTCGTTTGACTTTGTTTTACATGGAAATTGTCCATTAAAATGATATTTTTT